TTATGCTCCAAATCTTTGACCTTATTCTTGCAATCTTCCACTCTGTTTTTAGGACTCTGTATAATATTTTTTATTTCAGACAATGTATTCTTTATTTCTTGTTGATCCCTTATCATTTCTTGTTGACTCCTTATTAATTCTAGTTGATCTCTTTTCATATCCTCATAGGTTTTATCCATCTTTTCTAGGAAATTCTTGAAAAACCTTATAAGCGTAGATTTGAACTCTATATCCAGACGCTTTTTGTCCTCCATTTCTTTCATTTGTGATCTATTTTGTTGTCGCATTTCGCAGCTACAGATGGGGTGGAGTTTCAGGGTGGAGCCTACAGCCTTGGCTTCCATCAGCTCCACCCTATGCGGGTCCTTCAGTGCTGGCTGCCGGCGCCTCTGAGAGAAAGGTGCCCTCGATTTTTGCCTGCTGCCAAACAGTCAATGCTCTCCCCCACTGAGCCCGGTATTAGGGTTCAGTTCAGTTGGAAGTGGAGTTGGAGGTGGCGTTCAGAGCAGACTGGCGCCCCTGTCTCCTTCCCGCCAGGCAATCCCCCGGCACAGCCGGCCGTCCCTTCTCTGTGCGCACTGTGTGCGCCGCTGGGACACCCTTTCGCCGCTTCCCCGGGTTCCGCCCAGCTCCCTCTGGATGAGCCTGGGTCCCAGGGGTCTGGCCTAGGCCTGGGGTTCAGAGCAGTCAGAATGGGGCCCAGCACAGTCGGAGTTTTATCTCCTTCCCACTAGGGAACGCCCGCCAGGCACTTGGCCTCCCTCCTCTCCGGCTCTGTCCTCTCCACGCCACGCCTCTCTGTACCTTAGGCTTTTCCAGCTCCTCCGCGCTTCCTTCTGGTTTCCTCCTTGCTTCTCGTTGTAGAATTTCCAGTCAGTCAACTTTTCTGTAGTTCTGGGTAATGTCCATTTTATATTTTAGTTGTATTTTATTGAAATTGTTGTGTGTGGCCGGGACCGGTTTGGCTCAATGGATAGAGCGTCGGCTTGGGGACTGAAGGGCCCCGGGTTCGATTCCAGTCAAGGGCATGTACCTTGGTTGCGGGCATATCCCCAGTAGGGGGTGTGCAAGAGGCAACTGATCAATGACTCTCTCTCATTGATGTTTCGAACTCTCTATCTCTCTCCCTTCCACTCTGTACAAAAATCAATAAAATATATTAAAAAAAAAAAAAAAAAAAAAAAAGAAATTGTTGTGTGTGGCTGCGGCTAGGTGTTACCTGGGCGCAGCCATCATGGATCCTCCTCTCCTTTCACTCTTGAACTTCCTATTATCCCTTAAACTCTTCACAACAGTCCTATAGCATAGGAAGAATTATTACCATTTTGCAGATGAGAAAACTGAGGCCCAGCCTTGTACTCACCCACAGAACCACAGACGAACTACTGTCTGAGCAGCTCACCCATCTGTGAACCTGCTCTCCTCTGGCAGGAGACCAGGAATGTCAAAGAGCCTCTGAAGGGCCTAGGCCGGATCCCAAGGCCCAGGCCTGTCCCATCCTGAGATCCCAAGCTCCTTCCTCTTCCTGTCTTGTTCCCTACCTTTTCCTTTGGATTAGAAGGTGCTGGGTAGGCCATGTTTCAGCATGGCAGGCAAGAAACAAGAAGAGGCTACACTGGGGCCAAACACAAGCCAGCCAAGAGGAAGCCATGCTGGTTCCAGAAGCATGATGGGATCATCCTTCCTGGCAAAAACTCCCTGTCTACACAAAAGGCGAATGAACTATTTTCAGCAAAATGTGCTGACTGGTAAGCACTCATTGTGTATTACAAGAATCTTCTCTTCTCTTGCATCACACTATTGTTTTTTTTATTTTATTTGTTGTTATACAAATTTAAGATTTTTATACAATTGGATAGATCCTATTGATTTTATAGATCGAGATCTCCAACCTCGTGGGAAATAGAACTCCCTGCCCTCCCATTCCCTCCTAGGCTTGTCCTTCTTGTCAATTTGTAAGCACTCTTTACCTTTTTAAAAAAATATTTTTTTTATTGATTTCAGAGAGAAAGGGAGAGGGAGAGAAATAGAAACATCACTGTTGAGAGAGAATCATTGATTGGCTGCCCTCTGCACACCCTCTACTGGGGACTGAGCCCACAACCCAGGCATGTGCCCTTGACCAGAATGGAACCTGGGACCCTTCAGTCCGCAGGCTGACACTCTATTCATGGAGCCAAACCAGCTAGGGCTCTTAACCTTTCTAGCTATTTTCCCCAAGCCTTTGCATATTGCCTTGCAATGTGTGTGTGGTGTGTTTTTAAAATTGATTTTCTAGAGAGAGAAGAAGGGAAAGGGAGAGAGAAAGAGAAACATAGATGTGAGAGCAAACATAGACTGGCTGCCTCCTGCATGCCCCTACAGGGGATTGAACCTACAATCCTACAGTTTCCTGCCCCCTCCCCCACAGGTGAGAATGGAACCAGCACTTTCCCTGCACTGGACCAGCCCCAACCAAACTAAGCCACACCCGCCAGGCGGCCTTGCAATAGTTTTCATTTTTTGCTTTTAAATATAGATATCTCCATTGATTTCAGACAGGAAGGGAGAGAGAAGGTAGAAACATCAATGTGGGAGTGAATAACTCATTGGTCGGCTGCCTTTTGCAGGCCCTCCAGCCTGCACCTGGGCATGCGCCCTGACCTGGAATCCAACCTCCTGGTTCATAGGCCCACGCTCAGCCACTGAGTCACACTGGCCGGGCTGCGATGACTTTTAAGTGTTCACAATAGGCCTGTCTTATACTTCACAGGTTCTGTTTCTGAACTTGGTCAGGGAGATCTCCCACTCCTGAGTGAAGGGGCTCTTCCCTGTCCCTCCTCCTCACCCCCTCCACCCCACTCCCAATCTCCAGCTTCTACTTTCCCAAGGTCTTGGGACCTGCCCCGCCTGAAGGCCGAGCCTCTCCCCCCCCCCCCCTCTCCTGTTGAAGGAGGTGGGGCGGGTGCTTCATTCCTGGTCAGTGTTTCCAGCTCCTCCTGCCTAACCTAGTAACCCTGCCCCACTCTGTGCTGCAAGGGACCAGCCCGCAAGTCCTGTGCATTGACTTCCTGTGTAACTGCTTCCACACAGACTCCTAAGCTGCTGCGTTTCATACGAATATGTCCATGTGTACTTGTCCTTGTGGGTTTGCGACGTGGACTAGGAAGGTCTCCCTGCTCCCCCTCCCCCTCCCTTGCAGAGACCTAATCTCGCAGCTTCTCCCTTCCCACGGTCAGGGGCATAAAAGCGTGCAGGGGCGCGGCCCCACAGCCTCACCATGTCCCCGCTGTGCCCACTGCTGCTGGCCCTGGCCCTGGTGGCCATCCCAGGTGTCAGAGGCGCCTGCCCGGCAGCCGCTGACCTCAAGAACCCCGAGGGGCCTCGGACGTGCGCCAAGGTCTATGACAAGAGCGACCCATATTATGAGAACTGCTGCCAAGGCGCCGAGCTAACTATAGAGTCTGACACAGACCTGCCCTTCCTGCCCTCTGACTGGAGGAACATCATCTCCTCCGTCGTGGTGGCCCCGCGCTGTGAGCTCACCGTGTGGTCCCGCAAAGGCAAGGGCGGCAAAACTCGCAAGTTCAAGTCAGGCACCTACCCGCGCCTGGAGGAGTACCGCCGGGGTGTCTTTGGCCACTGGTCCAACGCCATCGCCTCCATCTACTGCAGGTGCCCTCTTGCCCCTCCCTCCCCCTTCGCCAGTGCACGTCTGCTTCCAGAGCACAGAACCCTCAGCTCCAGTTTGCCCAGCCCCCTAAGTCCCTGACCCAAAGTGGGAATCCCTAGATCCAGTCCTGGAGGTGCCCCTTCTCACCCACATCCCCTCCCCTGGCACTTCCTGGTGATAAGTTTTTATTCTGTTGCAGGTGCAACTGATGCCTCAGAGGTCCCTCATCTCCAGCCCCTATAGAATGAGGAGCCCCTCACCCGGCCTTGTCCCTGGGGCCTGCCGAAGGTCCCAGTCCCAAGCAGAGAGAGCTTTCTGTCTGCTCCCTTCCCACCCTGCCTTCCCTGCAATACAGTCCTTGTGAAGTCGCCCCTGGCTGCCATCTGCTTGTGCTTGGGACCCAAGTCCACACAGGACGGGGGTGGCATGGGGAGACGGCAGGGGGTCATGCCAGGATCAGCCTACCTGGGGCAGCGCTGACTGGGGACACACCATGGTTTTCGACACGGATTGAGGTGTGCACAGAAACACACTCCCACGGAAGCATGTGTGGCATGCAATGGTACCGCTGCTGATGCTGCCCAGACCTTTGGGGACATAGCCCTTCCCTGAGTGACCCCGGCTGCTCGGGCTGCTAGGGCCCCAGAGTCCGGATTCATGCAGGAGACAGAAGAGGCCTTCCAGGGCCAGCCCAGCGAGGCCGGGTCTGAGGTGAGGCCTGGCCAGAGCCTAGGACTCACGGGGTGTTCAATACCCAACCCTCCTCTCCCTACACATGGGAGACACTGTAGTGAATTTGCAACCTATCCCCACCCCCACCCCCAGGGATGGGGCCCTTGATGGACACCTGGGTTTGGGGCTCTTAGGAGAAGCTGAAGAAGAGAATGGAGGGTCTTGGGGGAAGGAAAGGTATGAGGACAGCTCATCAGAAAGGACAACTTTGGTTGGATGGAGGAGGAGAATTTGGGGAGATTCTGAGAGCTAAGAAATGTGGTGGAGAGAGTAGGTGGAGATTCTAAGAGACCATAAGTTGGGGTATGTGAGGAGATCAGAGGTCAAGAGAGGCGTGGGAGGTGGAGGAGGTGGGGGTGCTGGAGGATCACAGAGCAGAGGGGGTGGAAGTGGGCTAGGAGCTCAGGGAAGGAGCAAAGATGGCAAACATACCAGAGTCCTTGGGCACAGGTGCTGATTGGTTTAGTCAACAAGGATTTATTGAGCACCTACTATGTGCCAAGCACTGCCTTGGGAGGAGTGGTCCCTGGCCTCCTGGAGCCCCGAGCATGCAGGGGAACGCCAAGGAGGCAGGCGTTCCGGGCGTGCGAGGTCCGACAGTGGGGAGGAGACGAGGTCACACAGCCCGGCCCTCCCTGAACTGCACGGACACGGAGGAGTCGGTCACCCTTGTGCGCCGCAGCCCCCCGGGCTCCGCGCGGTCCTTGGTCTTGTGCAGGAAGTGGACGAAGCGCACGCCGGGGCCGTACTGGCGGAACACGTGGGACACCTGTGGCGGCGGCGGCGGCGGGGCAGAAAGATGTCCTCATCAGGGCTCCGAGCCCGCTCTCCCCTCCTCCCCTGGAGGCCTGGGGCCGGGTCTGGGCTGGCAGCGGGGCGGGGAGTCTCACCTGGACCCAGCGGCCAGGAAGGCCCCTCCCAGAGGTGCGGGGCGCCACGTGGTGCTGAGCGATGACGCTGTGGCGGTCAGCTGCCAGCAGCCAGACGTGCAGCTCATAGACACACACGTCCAGCCGGCTGTCCTCAAACCTGGGGGTGGGGGCACGCCTTCAGCTGCCACCTCAGCCCCAACATCCCGACCCCAACTTCTTGCCCCAATCACCATTTAGCACCTCTCACTGCTCCCTCCCTTCCCACCGTGCACCTGGAGCACAGCAGACCCAGGCACAGCCCTGTGCCTGCCCTGTGGGGTTCCCAGTCCAGAGGGGGAGACAGTGACCAGCAGGGATAGTCGGGACCAGGACGGGGCTGGTCGGGAAGGCTTCCCGTTGGAGCCACGTGCCCCTGACCCCTGAAGGACAAGGACGGATCGTCCTGAGAAAGACAAGCGTCTGAGAGGCAAGGACGGCCCTGGGCCTGGCACATTTCACAGCCGGAAAGTGTCAGAGAGAAGGGCCGCAGAGGGGGCAGGGCTGAGGAGGGTCCCGGTGGGCGGCTCAGACAAAGGGGAGGGGGGGCGGGGCCTGTGCTTTGGGGGAGCCCCTGTGTGCACCTGGCGGGGTGCAGGCACGTACCAGTCCATGACAGTGATGTCCGGCTGCTCATCATCAAGAAGCTCCTCCCACAGGCCCTCGGCCAGCAGGTCCACACACTGATGCTTCACCGTCCAGCTGGGGGGACAGGGGGGCGGGCTCTGGGACGCTGGCATTCTTGGGCATCTCCCAGGCCAGCCTGCCCCAGGGAGCAGGAAGCCTGACCACAGCACCGCCTCTCCAGGGTACGCAGACATGGGCCTGGGCTCTCACTAGGCACCTTACAGTCTCGCTTCCCATCACCCTCTCAGCAGGTGATGCATTCTTTCTTTTTAAAAAACATATTTCTATTGATTTCAGAGAGGAAGGGAGAGGGAGAGTGAGATAGACACATCAATGATGAGAATCATTGATCTGCTGCCTCTTGCACACACACACCCCCCCTTTGCCTATAACCCCAATATGTGCCCTTGACTGGAATTGAACCTGGGACTCTTCAGTCAGCAGGCCGATGCTCTATCCACTGAACCAAACCAGCCAGGGCAGGTGATGCGTTCTGAACCCTGAGTTGCAGTGGGGAAACAGAGGCCCAAGAAGGAAAGTGTCTTGCCCAACCTCAAACAGCAAAGAGGCTGCAGAGCCGGGTCCCAACCCAGAGTGCCTGTGACTCTGAGCCCCTGACTTAACACCATCTCACCCACTGCCCAGAAGGGGCTCGGTTCTCGGGCTGGGGACTCGCCTCCTCCCAGGGGAAGAGGCTCAGCAGAGGAACAATAATACCTGCTACTTGTGAACACCCACTATGTGTAAGCCAGACCTGGCCAAAGCCTGTGCTGTGCGTGGTAGGAGCATTCTCTGGGCAGACGACTGACTGTGTTTACAGAGCAGGAAACCGAGGCCAGAGAGGCCAAGCCCTTTCTCCAGGCCCCACACAAGGAAGGCGCCAGGCGGAACCCATCGCAGGCGGGTCCTGGCCATTCACCTGCAGTTGTGCTGCAGCTGCTCGGTCCTAATGTACCACCCGCGGAAGTTGCCTGCCAGGAGGAGGAGCAGAGGGTTAGAAGTGCAGTGTGTGGGGTGCCTTCCCCAGGGCCCAGCCCCAAGCACTCACCCAGCTTCTCCAGGGGCTGCCGCGTGGGGCCGGTAGGGGGCGCTGGCTCATAAATGTTGATGCCTGAAATGGCAGGTGATACACACCCTCAGGTGTGCTGGGGCTGCCCCTGTCCACCCTCTGCCGCACCTGCCCCCAGGGCGTTCTGGAAGGGCAGGAAGCTGTGCCATCCACCAGGCCAGACCAGCCTGGCAGGGGCGAGTGAGCCAGGGCCCAGGGAGAGCCCTGAGCATGTCCTGGGGGGGAGGGACCAGGTGCGTTCTGGTGAGGCAGAGGCCGGGGGACAGGGAGGCACCAAGAAGGGAGGAGGGGAGCGGAGGGGGAGCGGAGAGGAGCGGAGGGGGAGCGGAGGGGGGCGGAGGGGAGCGGGGGGGGGGGAGAGAGCGGAGGGGAGCGGAGGGGGCGGAGGGGGAGCGGAGGGGAGCGGAGGGGGCGGAGGGGGAGCGGAGGGGAGCGGAGGGGAGGGGGGAGAGCGGAGGGGAGCGGAGGGGAGGGGGGAGAGCGGAGGGGAGCGGAGGGGAGCGGAGGGGAGGGGGGAGAGCGGAGGGGAGCGGGGGCGGGGAGAGCGGAGTGGGAGAGAAGGGGAGCAGAGAGGGGCGGAGGGGAGCGGAGGGGGGCGGAGGGGGAGCGGAGGGGGGCGGAGGGGGAGCGGAGGGGAGCGGAGGGGGAGCGGAGGGGAGCGGAGGGGGGCGCAGGGGGAGCGGAGGGGAGCGGAGGGGGAGCGGAGGGGGAGCGGAGGGGAGCGGAGGGGAGCGGGGGGGGGGAGCGGAGGGGGAGCGGAGGGGGACGGAGGGGGAACGGAGGGGAGCGGAGGGGGGCGGGAGGAAGGATCCGGGGTGACAGAGACACACGGAGAGATGGAGAGATGGAGACGAGGGGCAGAAGGAGACAGAGGCGGGGCACGGGCGGACAGAGCCTGGAGGAGACAGACGGAGGGACGATAACAGAGCCCGGGAACAAGGAGGGAGGACGGAGGGAGGACGGAGGGAGGACGGAGGGAGGACGGAGGGAGAGCGGAGGGAGGGCGGAGGGAGAGCGGAGGGAGAGCGGAGGGCACCTTCGGGGTTGGGCGAGCGCAGCAGGTTGCGGTAGAGCGGCCGGCGCAGCAGCAGCAGCTGCCAGGAGAGGCCGGGCGGCAGGGCCAGGTCCCGGCCCGGCGGCCCCCACTCCTCCAGCAGCAGCCGGCGCGCGCGCGCCTCCGACAGCGGCTCCGCGGGGCTCCCCTCGGGGCTCCCCTCAGGGCTCCCCTCGGGGCTCCCCTCGGGGCTCCCCTCGGGGCTCCCGGGGGCCGCGGGCGGCGGCGACTCCGGCGGCGGCGGGGACGGCGGCGAGGGCGGCGCGCGGGGGCTTGGGGGGCTCGCGGGCTCCTCGGACTCCATCCCGCCGCCGCGCAAGCTTCCCTCCTGCGCCTCCTCCATCGGCGATGTGGGGCTCCCCGCGGGGCGGGTAAGTGGGTCAGGAGGGGCGGGGCTCTGCGGCTGAGACTCAGAGAGGGGTGTGTAGGGGCAGGACCTGCGCCCCCAGTCCCTCCTCCCTCAGACCCGAGGCCAGGCCTCAGCCCTTCAGATCCCCAAGCCCCCACCTCCCCGGAGCGCTGGCCCTGGGACGGGGGCAAGGAAGCCAATGCTCTGTATGGAGGCCCATCCGCCTCATTGAGATCCAGAATGGCCCCAGCTCAGTGGCTAGAGCGACGACGGCTTGCGGATTGAAAGGTTCTGAATTCGATTCCAGTCAAGGGCACATGCCTGGGTTGCGGGCTCGATCCCCAGCAGGAGGTGCAGGAGGCAGCCAATCAATGATTCTCATCATCAATGTTTCTATCTCTTTCTCCCTCTCCCCTCCTCTCTGAAATCAATAAAATATCTTTTATAAAAATGTTCAGCTTGGCAGGAGGTAATTAAGGGAGACCCCTTCTTTTGGCCTCCCCTCTCAGCAGAGGGGGGTCCTGCTCTGTCCCCACCTGGGACCCGCCCTCGGGACCCTGGCATTTCCTGCTCTGGAAACCGAGGTGTGGGAGCAGGGCGGAAAGAGACCTAGAGCCAGAGATGGGCAGTCACCCAGACGGGGGTCCCTGGTGAGACATGAGATAGCAGCGGAGAGGGAAACAGCAATACTATCTGGTTTTGGGGGTGCCTGCACTCCTTCCTGGGGCTCGGGCAGGCAACACAGAGGAGAAGTTTGGGGTGAGGGATGAAGGATGGTGGGCCAGGAGGTGGGGTGTGGAGGAAGTGGGGTGGCGGAGGTGGGGTTAGGGTTAGTGGGGTGGAGGAAGTGGGGTGGCGGAGAAACCTGTAGGGCCAGATGCCCACGGCCGCATCCTGCCCGTCACAGCCCACACAGGTGAGCACACAGGTTACAGCACCAGCCGTGCTTGCTGTTTGTGGGGGGCCGGTCTGGTGCGTCCACGCTCACTTCACCCCTGAGGCCGTAGGAGGAGGTGCTGCTGATGTGAGGAAAGGAACAGCAGGCGTGTTGTGGGCTGTGTGAGCCCCACTGCTCAGTGCCAGCCTCTGTGGGTGCTGTTGCCACCCGTTTCACAGATGAGGAAGCAGAGGCCGCTCTCAAGCCTGGGAGCTTCCTGCCCGATTGGAGGGGACACAGGCCGCAGACACAGGAGCTGAGTTCACACCCAATGATGACGCTCCGGCACCTGAGGGCTGACTGTGCCGGGTTGCTCCGCGCTCCTCAGGTGGGGTGGTGAATTCAATCGCCACATCCTCCCTAGGAACAGATACTAGGGCTAACCTTTCGCAGATGAGGAACTGAGACACGGTAAGGTCTGGTAACTCACCCAAGATTGCACGGCTGCTGTGTGGCGTGTTGGAAACAGAACTTTAGATAAGATACACAGGGACACAGACTCACGCACCCAAGGAGAAGCACTGGTCCACACAGAGCAGACAGGAGATAATAATGGCCATATTTAGTTCTGTCTTGAACTCACTGAACTTCTCAGCCACAGGAGGCAGAGACTGATAATAGCACCTCCATTCACAGCTCAGAGGCAGGGAGTGAAAACCTGTCCTGGGAAAGCTGAGAATTAGCCAATTTAGGGTCCTGGATGGCAGCAAGGACCTGTGGGAGGGGACAAAGCACACAGCGTCTAGCCCCACTGCACCAGGAGGTTCCAGACAAGCACGCAGAGAGGCCAGGACAACCCACAGCTAGAGACCCCCGGGCATCAAACCACAGCCTGTCTGGTGGCTTGCCCACCCGTCCTCATTGGAGGAGGAGAAAGAAGAGGAGGAGAAGGAGGAGGGAGAACGGTGTGGCCAGGAGAGTCAGAGCTGTTACCAGGTTAGACTCCGAGGCAGGGCAGGGAGTGGCCGGGAGCCAGACACTGAAAAATAAGGGCAAGGGGGAGACTGCAAAGTGGAAATCAATGCCTCTCCTCTGCCTGCCCCCTGCCTGCCACGGTTTCCACATCACCCCTTCCCTGAGAGCGCGCGCACACACACACACACACACACACACACACACACACACGCACGCACGCACCGTGGCAGCCAAGGGGCCCTATGAAAGCCCAAAGCCACCACTTGCTCCCCCACTTATGCCTGCCATGGCTCCCCAGTGTCCTCAGCAAGCCCCAGGTTTCTGGCAGGCACCCGAGACCCCGATCCTGGGCCCCGCCTTTGTGATCCGTTCTCTCTCATCTCAGGGATTTTGATCGTGAAGTTCTTCCCGCCTGGAATGCCCCACCTCCTCCCACATCCCCACACTTAGAGGTTTTTAAGGCAACTCAGATTCACTCAGGGAGCTTTTTTAAAATGTGAATTTTCAAGCCCTCCTCCCAGGAGTCCCACTCAGTCCCTCCGACCCCAGCATCTAAAAGTTAAGAAGCTCACATCCCACATTCCTACTATGAGGAACATGTTTATCTAATTCTGGGGGATCCAGGAGCACAGCCAGAGACCTGCAAAGACCAGGCTTTCGGCATTACATCTCAGAGGTCTCCTTCCCACACAGGCCTGCTGGCCAAATGGCATCCTTCCCCAAAACCACCCTGCATGTGTCAGGAAACATTAAAAAATGTGAGTGATGGTGCGACCACTTGGGAAACAATGTTACAATTTCTTTTAAAACTGATTATCCTCCCACCCTATAACCAGGCAATCCCACTCCTAGGATTTAGCCTCAAAGGAAAAGCCATGTCCCCACAAAGACCTGCATCCAACACTTTCTAAAAATACAGTTGACCCTTGAACATGGGTTTGAATTAGGCGGGTCCACTGATAGGCAGTTGTTTTTCAATCAATCCTGGAAATGTATTTGCTCTTCCTTATAATTTTCTTAATAACATTGTTTTTTCTAGCTCACTTTATTGTAAGAATATAGTACTCTAGAGGCTTGGTGCACTGTTTCGTGCACAGGTGGGGTCCCTCAGCCTGGCCAGTGATCGGGGCTGAACAGCAGCCATCTCGCCCAGTCCTGATGGGACCGATGGGGCCAGCAGGCTGGGGAGGGACTGCAGGAGGGCTCCAGGATGTGGTTCGCCCTCTCACCTAGTTCCTATTGGCCAGAAGCCAGTAGTAAGCTAACCTACTAGTCGGAGCATCTGCCCCTTGGTGGTCAGTGCATGTCATAGCAAATGGTTGACCAATTGGTCACTTAGCGTATTATGCTTTTATTATATAGGATAATATATATTACATACAAAATATGTGTTAATTGACTACTTATGCTATCAGTAATACCATAAGTTATCGTTATCTGGTCAACAGTAGGTTATAAGCAGTTCAGTTTTAGGGAATATGTGGAGCCCTAGCTCAGTGGTTATAGTGTTGGCCCAAGGACTGAAGGGTGGCAAGTTTGATTCTGGTCAAGGGCACCTACCTCAGTTGCAGGCTCGATTCCCTGTTCTCATGGGGGCACATGCAGGAGGCAACCAATCAATGTGTCTCTCTCACATCAATGATTTTCTTTATCTCTCTCTCCCCCTCCCTCCCACTGTCTTTATTTTATTTTTTAAAAATATTTTATTGATTTTAAAAAAATATATTTTATTGATTTTGTACAGAGAAGAAGGGAGAGAGATAGAGAGTTAGAAACATCGATGAGAGAGAGTCATCGATCAGCTGCCTCTTGCACACCCCCTACTGGGGATATGTCCGCAACCAAGGTACATGCCCTTGACTGGAATCGAACCCGGGACCCTTCAGTCCCCAAGCCGACACTCTATCCATTGAGCCAAACCGGTCTCGGCAGAATATTTTATTGATTTTTTACAGGGAGGAAGGGAGAGGGATAGAGAGATAGAAATATTGATGAGAGAGAAACATCGACCAACTGCCTCCTGCACACTCCCTACCGGGGATGTGCTCGCAACCAATGCACATGCCCTTGACTGGAATCAAACCTGGGACCCTTCAGTCTGTAGACCGATGCTCTATCCACTGAGCCAAACCAGTCTTGGCGCTTCCAATGTCTTTAAAAATCAATGGAAAAAATATCTTTGGGTGAGGATTAACAACAACAAAAGGTTATGTGTGGGTCTTTACTGTGCAGGGGGAGGGCACATCCCTCACTCCCATGTTATTCAAGTGTCAACTATAGCTTCCAATCAGAACAATGTGTGCCATCAACAGGTGAATGGATAATGTAGGCGACCTCCATCCACACCATGGACTATCTAAGTGGGGAAAAAGCCGGCGCTATCAAAACATGCAACCACATGGGCAAAACTAAAATCATCATGAAGAGTGACCAAGGCCAGGCAAAAAAAAAAAAAAAAAAAAAAATAGCATGGCCAGAGTAATTCCATTTATATCTAATTCTGGAAAAGACAACAGTAATCTACATATATAAAAGCCTAATATGCAAATTGTCCCCTCAGGAGTTCGGCTGTGAGACCGGGAGTTTGATGGCTCGCTATGACGTACGCTGACCACCAGGGGCTGGTGTGGAACAAAGGAAGGCCTTGGCCGGCAGCTGGAAGGCCCTGCCGTACCCATGCATAAATTTTGTGCCCTAGACCTGTAGCTGGAATAAAAAAGAGCAGTTCGAGGGTAGCCTGAGCTAGGGATGAACTGCAAAGACATATGGGAGTGGACTTCCTGGGTGATGAAATGTTCAGTCTTTTGTTGTTAATCCTCACCCGAGCATTTCTCTAAGGGTAATAATTTCTAGGGAACCATGGGGAAGGTGCAGTGGGAAATGAGTAGATATAGCCTCTCTCTGGCTGAGTGAGGCAGGGAGACAGCAAGGAGGGAGAGGAGGGAGGGCAGGTCCATGGTGGGATCAGAGAGTGGCTGGCAGAGGGCAGATTCAGGATCTTGTCTGAAGACAGAGGAAAGGCTCGATTTGAGCAATAGGCAAAAGATGGCACCACTTGCAGAGAGGGGAAGACAGAGGCCATAACAGATGGGGCGGTGCAGGAAATCAAGCATTCCATTGCACATGTGTTAGGTCCTGGGCA